GTAAGAGAGCTGGATGGTGATGAAATGAATTAGAATGTTGAAAGGAAGAAGATAAGAACAAAATTCAAAAGCCATGGAGAAGAAAGGGATCGGGGTTGCTAAATCAGGCCGCCTTCGATATCGTGAGAATATTTGATAACACCACCGCACATAAAGGATGACTAGAGTTTTGTATGTGTAATCATTTACGTAATCAAATAAATAAGAAGAGAAAGGGTTAAATATGGTACATATATTAAACGGTAATGGAAGACTAAATATCCTCAACAATACAAGATGTTAGCCTATAATCAAGATACGGTAAGGGAAAATTAAGCATCGTCAAGTTGTAGGCAGAGGAGGCAATGGCGAGGGTTTCGGGTCAAGAAATTCGCATCTTCCATGGGGTGAAGGAGAAAGAGAGTGAAGAGATTGGTCCATGAAGAAGGAAGAATAAAGGGATGGATATGGGTGTGACCTGTGACTGTGAGTGCATTAATTTGATTCGTTATAAAGGTGCTATTGAGAAATTGTTGAAAGGGACTAAAACGTAATTCACCATGCATGGAATCCTTTTTGCCACGTCATACCAAATATATTTTAATTTTTATGTTTGAAATTCTGAAATGGATATTTTAACCCATGAATTAAAAAGATTATAAGTGTATATTAATAGTAACTAAAACATATATTTTGACGATTTAAATATTTAAATGAAATAAATTTAAAAGTTTAGAATATTGTTTTGAATCCACAAGGGGATAGGATAAGGGTAAGGATGGTAATTAGTTTAGTAGATCTATCATTCTTGTTTCATATAAAATTAATTTCAAACTCAAAATACTTTTATGTTGTTAGACATAAGCTAGAGAATCTAAAAACTGCAGTTTCAATGTTTTACTAAAATTGTTCATACCTAATTTCACAATGAATTAAATAAACTTCGATTGCATTGAATCAATTGAATTGAATGCAAGCTTCTACTCCAGATTGTAACTAAGTCTTTTATTAAGCAGCCACACACAAGCAACATGTGTGGCAAAACCAGCTTGAATTCCACATTTTTTGTATTCAATTGTTGCAGACACAAAACCAAGAAGGCAAAATCCACATTTGTTGTATTCAATTGTTGCAGACACAAAACCAAGAAGGCAAAACTGAGAAACCAAAGCTCATCGGCATCGATGCTCCAACATAGCCACAAACCTCATCCAACGTAGCCACAAAATCGAGTGAAAAATAAGAAAGTCTAGATCGAAATAGGGAATGATTCGTTCTTGCCTCCATCCGGTAGTAAGGGACTCTCAACTTTCTTATTCGTAACATAGAATAAGAAACCTATTAACAAATCCCACATCAAAATAAAATCCTAGAGAATGAACATCTCTTTCTCATTAAAAACTATTTCCCTTTTTTTTTTTACAATTTTTCGGGGACACTTATAATGAACAAGATGGGCTAGCAAATGTTGCAAAACAAGCAACCTTGCTTTGTAAACAAGTTACTTTAAAAAGAAGATGAAAAAGAACGAAAGAAAGAAATAAAGAAAAAGAAAACTGCGAATTGCTTCATACGCTTATCTTATCGACATGGTAAACCAGAAAATGCAAGCTGATCATGAAGGAAGAAGGAAGTCTCTTGCGGTCACCTTCTTAAGGTTAAGGTAGCTACTACTTCTCGAGGTGGTACCCTTCAGTAAGGGAAGCTTGAATGAACTCCTCAAATTCAGCTTCCATGGTGCGCAGTTCTTCATTTGCATCGAGATCGAATGCCTCTGGCAAAAAATCAGCAATGTCGTTACTCAAATCATCTTCGCCGTCCATGTAGAAGTCACCGTCTTCCTGGTGTTGGCTGAGCCAGTAATTGCGGTACCATGTCGAGGTTGTGACCAATTGCCACCATTGCGGGGAGAAGTCCTCCACCTGGTATGCAGCCGGGATGAAAAGTGGGGCGTTCGGGTTTAGCTTTGATCTTCCATCAACAGATGCTAGAGCCATTGTTTTGGAATGCAACTATACAATTGATCTACGGACCTTCAGAAAAACAAACAAAATCAGCCAAATGTAGAAAAGCTATTACAAAACCTTAACAGATATGCAAAGCAGGGCGATCTATTTCGTTCACTGTTCTTCAAATTTGCTAACATTGTTCTTATCAACAATGATTGTATTACTTATTTTCTCATCATGTTTCATCTTGTTTACAGAAGGATTGAAATTCTTTGTCAAAAGTATGAATCAAAACAAAAAAAAAAACACTCATATTAGATTAGTATTACTTAAACACACGATTAGATACATATACAAATCTGATTCCAGTCATCCAGATCAATCAAAATCAAAATCTCAGAGCATCCGTCTTCAAATCAAAATTAGGAATTCATCTCATATCACGAAGATTTAAATGTTCAAATCCTAGTTTATAAACAAAACAATTATAAGATTTAAATGTTCAAACCCTAGTTTATAAACGAAACAATTATCAGATTTCCAATCGAGAGATCAGAAATCCCGATCAACGAAGGAGAACGCGTAATTAAAACTCCGATCTAGATAAATTAAACCAAAATAATAAAAAGAAAAAAAACGTACAAAAAAGAATCCCCCTGTCCGCAACGATTTCCAAACCCGGCTCCACAAATCAGATTGCAAACAAAACGACTCACAACAAGTAGATTTAAACACCCATCAATGAATCAAAACCGCACAGATCGCAGATCAGAAATCAGAGAAATCACAACCCGGTCCATTAAAAAAAAAAACCCGAATATTCACAATCACAAACATCACCGCCATACTCTCCGCATCTAAAGCAACACCAAACGCACAGATCTAATACCAAAATTTCCCTTCCATTTCATCGTTCCATTCCCCCAGTATTCTCGAGATCGAAACGGAAAAAGAAAAACAGGAGACCAAATTCAACAGAAAAGGAGAAGAAAAATTTACCAGTTGAGAGAGAACGGGGGAATTCAGTTTTGACCAAATTGAAAAGAAAAAATCAGTGGGAAATTTCGAGGTCTTATCCTCTTCCTGAGAGACTCACAATTTCAACGAAGTCCACAAATGGGGTTACCGAAGTTGAAGAAGAGAGGGCCGTTTTTATAGGGAACAAAAAGGGATTTATTCTTTTCTTAATTTATTTTATTCTTTTTAAATTCCTTTCAGTTTTATCCAACTAATCCGCGTGATTTCAGCGGCCGAGCGCGAGTGGGATTTTTTTAAAAGCGCGTGTGGTGTAGTTCGTTTGACTTTGACCTATCCCTATCAGTTGGGAATGGGAACATGCCACGTTTCAAATTTGTCTGCTAACGACCGTACCTGAAAATTATTGGCTTCTGTTCGTTTTAAATTTACGATTTTGCCCTTTTTGTATTATGATATATATATATATATATATATTTTTTTTTTCCTTTCTTTTTTGGTGGAAAAGAAAAGATTTTTTTTATAATTTGATTTATGTCTAAAAGTAATTTTCAACCTCGATAACAGGATTTGAACCTACGCAAGCAAAGCTCAACCAATTTTGAGTCTATCTCCTTAACCACTCGGACATATCGACACTAATAAAAATTACTATTTAGTGAAAATTCTTTCTGTCGAAAAAAATTCACAACTAAGACAATGTATCTAAAAAAATACAGCAACTCGATCCAGCCTATGAAGACCCCGATTTCAAGATTCTCTTCGTAATCACTAAACAGATCAGCGTTACTGAAAATTATTATTTGATAAATTAAGTCTTAAATTACTAGAAGGAGACCGTTCTTAGAGCGTTAAGACCTAGAACTTTAGAATGTTAGTCAATTATTGTGTCTAACAGAGTACTTTAAGATGGGAGAGAGGTTAATTAATTAAATTCATTAAAATTACGGTTACTTACCCTTGTTACAAATATAGATTAAGATTATAAAAAAAATTAATTGCAACCTATTTTTAGATTTGGTATCTATTAAATCTCGAAATTTTAATTTATATTTTATGAGTTATACATTTTTAATTTTATGTTGAATAAATCTCTAATAAAATTTAAATTGTTAAAAATTAATTAATCTAATATATAAATTTAAATTCTTGTTATTGTTTTTTATTTAATAGATTCTTTAATTTTAAAAAATTTAAAAATTTTGAAACTAAATAATCACTCAATTTTGTATTTTAATTAAATTTTTTTTATTTACAAGTATAAGTTGTATTTAAAGGTTATGAATATCAATAAGAATCAATTCAATTGATCTAAAAGATATATATTTTCACTCAACCCGTCGATAGCAGGATTTGAACCTACGCAGGCAAAGCCCAACAGATTTCGAGTCTGTCTCCTTAACCACTCGGACATATCGACATTGATAAAAATTATTATTTGGTAAAAATTATTTCAATTGAAAAAATTCACAACTAAGACAATTAGCTAGGTCTAAAAAATATTGCAACTCGACCCAACCTATGAACATCCTGGTTTCAAGTTTGTGTCTTTAACCACTCAATCATATCACATTATTGAAAATTATTATTTGATAAAGGTACTTGAGTTGATAAAAATTTTGTTACCAGATTTTCTGTAAATTTTTAGGTAAATTTTTTAATTATCTATTTATAATCTCAGTATATATAGAGCTTTATTGCACTTCATAATACAATCTTCTCATCAACCCTTCAATCACTCATTCTTTCGCTAACAAATTGGTATAAGAGTAGTCTTCTTAAGGGATCTGTAAGATCAAATGGAAGGGGAATCCAGTTTTTTAGCTGTTGCACCACCAGTCTTTGATGGAGACAATTATCAAATGTGGGCAGTTCGTATGGAGACTTATATGGAGGCTTTGGATCTTTGGGAAGCAATAGAAGAGGATTACAAGGTCCCTTCACTTCTAACAAATCCTACTGTAGCACAAATCAAAGCACTGAAGAAAAAAAAGACAAGAAAATCAAAGGCAAAAGCTTGCCTATTTGCAACTGTATCTAAATGATCTGCAAAACTTGCCTATTTGCAACTGTATCTAAATGATCTGCACGCGAATAATGTCCCTCAAAATAGCAAAGGAAATTGGGGATTACCTCAAGACTGAATATGAAGGAGATGAGAGGATTCGTGGAATGAAAGTCCTGAATTTGATTAGGGATTTCGAGTTGCAGCAGATGAAGGAGTTTGAGTCGGTAAAAGAGTACTCTGACAGACTTCTCAGCATTGCCAAGAAGGTGAGATTGCTTGGTTCTGTGTTAAATCATTTCAGGATTGTTGAAAAGTTGCTGGTCACTATTCTAGAGAAGTTTGAAGCCACCATTACTACTCTGGAGAACATCAATGACCTATCAAAGATTTCTCTTACAAAGCTCTTGAATGTTTTACAAGCACAAGAGTATAAGAGGTCTATGAGGCAAGAAGGGCCATTGAACAAGTGTTTTGTGTCAAATCTAAATCCGATGGAGAAAGAGCAGATAACCCTTCTTGCCTCATAGACCTCCTTTGTTTTTGTGCTGGTAAAGCATTCAAGAGCTCTGTAAGAGAAATCTTTGATAGGTTTTTGGTGTTCTCCAGAGTAGTAAAGGTGGCTTCAAACTTCTCTAGAACAGTGACCAGCAACTTTTTAACAATCATGAAATCATTTAACACATAACCAAGCAATCTCACCTTGTTGGCAATGCTGAGGAGTCTCTCAGAGTACTCTTTCACTGACTCAAACTCCTTCATCTTCTGCAACTCGAAATCCCTAATCAAATTCAGGACTTTCATTCCACGAATCCTCTCATCTCCTTCATATTTCCTTTGCTATTTTGAGGGACATTATTCGCACGAAGATCATTTGAGATACAGCTGCAAATAGGCAAGCTTTTGCCTTTGATTTTCTTGTCTTCTTTTTCTATTGTGTTTTGATTTGTGCTACAGTAGGATTTGTTGGGAGAGGAGGGACCTCGTAATCCTCTTCTATTGCTTCCCAAAGATCCAAAACCTCTAGATAAGTCTCCATACGAACTGTCTACATTTGATAACTGTTTCCACCGAAAACTGGTGGTGCAATAGTGGAAAAACTTGATTCTACTTCCATTTGATCTCACAGATCCTTAAGAAGACTATTCTGATACCAATTTGCCAGTCAAAGAGTGAGGGATTGAATGGTTGATGAGAATTATACTATGGAGAGCAACAAGGTACATGGAGAATATAAAAAGATATTAAAAAATCTACCTAAAAATGTGAAAAAAAAAAATCCAGTAACAAACAAGTAAATTAAATCAAAACTAATAACTCCTAATTATAAATAGATTTAATCAGATACTAACGGACAGTTATCTAAACAAACACGTGATCGGTCACTTCTTCTACCGTTAGGTCGTTCATGTCAAGCAATGTCTCGATTGAAATCCCGACTTGCTCGAGGTGATGTGGGCGACCTGGGCAACCTGCAGCATCTTCTTCACGATTTCCGTCTTGTTAATGCTCCTACCATGAGTGGTGATGCTGTTGGCGAGCCCCGTGATCTGCATGGAAAAATCGTTGACAGATTTGTCGTCCTTAAAGCGGATCTCTGAGAACTCCTTCCGCAATTGTTCGATGTTGGACTCCCATACTTGCCACACACCAACCGAGACGGATTTGATCCCCTCCCAAGCCGATTGCGCAGTGCGCTTGGTGGACAGAGACACCAGCATCTTTGGAGGTACAGCCCACAGTATGGCGGCGAATGCTAGTCGATCCTCCCGGTACTTGATTGCTTCTCCTTCCTTAGGCTCGACGGCGTGCCACAACCCTTGTGCCTATAGGTTGACGCGCATTAGCAAAGCTCACTCATTGTAGTTGGACCTTGTCACATCAGGTACTGCACCAAAGCAGTCGTCTCCTTGATCACGCGCTCAACGACGACTCAACGTTCGTCTTCGTGGCGCCAGCCTCTGGTGGTGGTGATGGAGACATTGGCGCTTGGCGGCGACGTAGAGGAGAGCGTGAGTCTGTCTGGGATGGACCTAACAACGTGTGCATCTTCGTGTTTTGGTGCATCTTCTTCTACCTTGAACCTAAGCTCTAATACCACTTGTTGTCTTTAACCAGAGCAGCTCGCTGACGGTGAAACCAGGAAGAGATAATAGAAGGTGTAAGGATGAAGACGGTAAATCTTGTTGCAAAAGACAGTGCATATGTTTCTCATTTGATTGCAGTATTTAAAACAAACCTACACTTTAAAAATGCCCAAAGTGGCCAACTAAACTTGTGTCACTCCTCTCTAAACATGGCCGAATGGCCAGCTAAAATTATGCTTCTCTACTCGACGTGGATGCATCAAATTATCTAACAAAAAATTCAACTGAAGATGAAAATTATGATTAAAAAAAAAAGTTTATCTAACCATCATCCCTCTTACAAAATAATTTGTGATACTTTCATTCTTATTCATCTCTAGGGTCTCAAATTTTCTGGTTAATGCATTAAGAAGAGATTTCTTCACTTTTTAGTTTCCACCAAACTTTCGCATCATTGAGTCCAAAACAATGTGTTATGAGACGATCTAAGATTTGGACAATACGATCAATTGCCTAGAAGAGGTAATACGTTACTTGGTGATCTTTGAGTCTAGGATCATCAAGGGGCACTTTTTGCGCCTAGTTAGCTTTGTTCCTTCCAGTAGTTCCGAAAAATCAATCTCTACCATACTCCATAGACTCTTTGCTCCATGAGCTCACTCTAATGATCATAGGGATCTTCGTTAAAGTTTTGTCTTCACTCATACTCCCTGTATTTGATCACTAAAAAATTTGTACTCTATAAAGCCTAGTGGTGGCTATTATACCAATTGTGTAAGGTTTTGGCAGAAAATAAGTAAGCCAAACAAATAAACAATTGGAGATTCAAACGATGATATTATTGAATACTAATCACAAATATTGCGAAGTAGTCAAACTAAATAGCTAAAAAATACTCTAACTATCCTACTGGGAACGGTCTTTATTTAACCATGTTTGATAGAATCAAATTCTTCTCATAGCATAGTAGGAGAAGTCTATGCTACGAATAGTAATCATATATTGTTAGTATTTGATTTTGATAAGATATATGAAAACTCAATACAATTTTGGATTCCTAAATTGGATTACCTTTATTGGAATGGGCAGAAAGTATCTAATTATGATGTTCACGTATGTATGTCATGATTAATCAATGTTATTTTTTTGTTAGCGGAAATTGACTGCTTTAGTTTGTCATATATCACCGTCAGCCTTGCGGTTTTAAAATGCGTCTATTATGGAGAGGTTTCCACATCTTTATAAGGAATACTTTGTTCCTCTCTCCAACTGATGTGAGATCTCACAATCCACCTCCTTGGGCCCATCATCCTTGCTAACACACCTTCCAGTGTCTTGCTTTGATATCATTTGTCATAGCCTAAACCAACCGCTAGCAGATATTTTTCGCTTTGGCCCGTTACGTATTGCCGTCAGTCTCATGGTTTGAAAATGTTTCTACTACATAGAGGTTTCTACACCCTTATAAAGAATGCTTCGTTTCCCCCTCCAACTGATGTGAGATCTCACAATTTTGCCTATTTACCATATACAGGATACACTCATTTTGGCTATCAACCGTGCGACAGCTGCTAAAATACCACTTGAAAGACACTTGCATGCCAAAAGATCTTCACAGTTTTCCTTCGTGGCCCGACATTTCTTTTGCGTCTTTGAATCTGGCGATTGAACTTTATCAATATTTACTTCAACTGTTTGATGTTCAACATGATAGAACCCAAAAAGAACTAGATCATATTGCAAGGTAAAAGATGAACTTACAAGATAAACTAAGTAATTGGAAGAACTTCGACCCTCTCTTTCTTGTTCTTGTGATTGTTAGGATCGCACAACAACGCACACACTCGATCTAGATGAACACAAAGAAAAGGATAGAGAAAAATGCAAGGAGAACTCTAGCTAAAAGAATTTTTTATTTGATGATTTCAGGTATGTACAACAAGAGAGAGTATAGAGAATAGAAAGTACATCTTCAAAGCTTTACTGGACGGGATATATATATGGTTCAGTCTACTAAATATAGCTTTACCAGATTTAACCATCTACTATATATAGCTATTTACCATATATAGCTTTACCGGATATAGCTTTACCATATATGGCTTTACCAAATATAGCTTTACCGGATATAGCCGTTGACCAAGCTATAAATACAGGGAGCAGACTCCATAACTCAACAATTCTCCCACTTGGAGACTGATCCTACACCATACCAATTAGGGCTTTGCATAACCTTAATTTTTCAACATCAACACATTTTGTCAACATGTCTGCTGGATTCTTTGCACCCTCTATCTTCTCCAAACACATATCGCCTTCTTCCACTAACCTGCGAGTGAAATGGTACCGTCTTCTAATGTGTTTTGTCCTTGAATGATAGACTGGGTTTTTCACCAACTGTATGGCACTCTGACTATCTGTATGAAGGATCTTCTTGCACTGCTTCCGGCCTAATTCTTCTAGATAGTCTGTCATCCATATCATCTCCTTTCCAACTTCAGCTATAGCCACGTACTCAGCTTCAGTAGATGAAAGAGCAACGCATTTCTGAAGCTTGAACATCCAACTCACTGCTGTTCCATCTATAGTGTAGATATACCCAGATGTGCTCTTGCTGAAGTCTACATCTCCACTCAGATCAGCATCCACAAAACCTTGCAGAACTACTTTGCCATTGCCATAACAAAGTGTAGTATTGGATGTACCTCTCAGATATCTCAGAAGCCACTTCACAGCTTCCCAATGTTCCTTCCCTAGATTTGCCATGTACTTGCTAACAACTCCCACGGCATGTGTTATGTCAGGTCTAGTGCAGACCATAGCATACATCAAACTCCCAACTGCAGAAGCGTACGGAACTGATGCCATGTGTTCACGTTCCTCAACTGTCTTGGGAGATTGCCCCTTTGACAATTTAATATGATTTGCCAAGGGGGTAGTCCTGGGTTTAGCATTATTCATCTTGAATTTGGACAACACCTTCTCAATGTATGTTCTTGGGATAGATTTAATGTGCCAGCAAATCTATCTCGAGAAATCCTCATCCCAAGGATCTGCCTCGCTGCACCTAAATCTTTCATCTCAAATACTGAAGACAAGCTTGCCTTCAGGTGGTTTATCTCCCTCATACTTGATCCAGCAATTAGTATATCATCCACATACAGGAGTAGAAACACATAAGAATCAGTGTATTTCTTGAGGTAGCAACACTGATCCTTTTCACTTCTGTGGAAACCACTCTTGCTCATGAAGAAGTCAAACTTCTTGTACCATTGTCTCGGTGCTTGTTTCAGTCCATACAAGCTCTTATTGAGCTTGCACACCATGTGCTCCTTGCCTGGAGCTGCAAACCCTTCGGGTTGTTGCATATAGATCTCCTCATCTAGATCTCTATGTAAAAAAGCCGTTTTTACATCCATTTGCTCGAGGTGCAAATTCTCCGA